CCCGCTCCTGCCGCCGCTCCGCTCCTCCCGGCCCGGATCCGGCCCTGCTGCGCTGCTGCGAGGCTGGAAGCGGCACGTACCCAGGCGGAGCCTGCACCGAGCCGGGCCGGGCCGGGCCGCCGCCGCGCTTTCGGGGGGGGGTTGCTCGTACCTCCGGGCCGCCTCACACCCGCCCCCGCCCCTCCTGCCGTATCCTTCCGCCGGCGCTCCGCCCGCCCGACCCCTCCGCGGCAGCGGGCCGCCCCTCCCTCCCTGCCGGCCGCGGGGCGGTGCCGCCGGCCCTCCTCTTCCCCCGGCCGTGCCCTGGCTGTTTGGGTGCCGGGGGTCGGTCTGATCACCCCTTCGCCATAGGTTTCTCCTTAACCCCCCCCCCAGGCTCCCGGAGGCCGCCCCGGCAGCGATGAGGGGGGAAGCGGGGGCCAGGCCAGGCTCCCCCGCGCTCGCTGGGCCCAGCCGGGACAGCCTAGGCCTTCTCCAGGCCGGCTCTCCCCTTCACAGCACAAGCACAGTTCCTCCTCCTCCTCGGGCCTTCCCTCTCCATTTCCCCATCCCTCCCTCCCGGAGCTTCATCGCCATCCTCTTCCTCCTCCTCCTCCCCTCCGAGCCCGCTCCCCCGTTTTGTCTTGTCACAGGCTCTTAGGGGCAGGGAGTGCCCGTGCCTCCTCCATCTGCCCGGGACGCGGCGTGGAAAATATGACACCGAACAAACTTGTAGCAGAAAGAAAAACAAGCAGCGAATTAAAACCAGCGAGGTGCCAGGCGCCGTGCGGCTCCGGAGCCTCCGACAGTCACCCTGTGTGCTCCCCGAGCCCCCACAGCTCCACAATCCCACCTCACCGACCCCGCGTTCTGCCACGCTTTTCATTGGGAATATTTCTCACAGGTGAAGATCAACACAAATCCCCAAATTGGGGTGAGAAGTGATCCCTGCCTGCGCACACCCCGGCTTTGCAGGGACACCGCAGCCACGGGCCTGGTCCTGCTCCCCATCTCTTAATGCAAAAACCACCCTCCGTTACAAAAAGGTGACCGTATATTACCATGTGCAGTAAATACAGAATAGTTGGGCGTTCAAATTTCATTGGGGTTCCCTCTCCTCGGCCACAGCTCTGAAGAGGAACACGTCCCTGCTGTACGTTGCTGTAACTCCCTGCCATTCCTGCCCCTCTCAGGAGAAACACCAGTCTCGACTCCACGAGTGTTTCAGCAGCAGAGCCTGTTTCTGACAGCGCATCAACAGCACGGAGCAAATTGTGACAGATAGAAGCAGAGTTCTAGGTACATTACCTAATCCCAAAATCTCATTGTCAACACAAGGGGGTAAATAAGGTTCCAGCCCGGCACCCTTGTTCTCAAACACCTAGGAATAACTTCTATATACTAGAAGTTTAGGATCCTGCCATGCTCCTGTGCCTCATGTTAGGAATTATAGCTCCCGAGCCCCACCGAAGTGGAATGGAAAGCAGGACAGCTCTGCTGCCAGGAGGGTAGGCATTAATACCTGGCCTCCCAGTGCAGAGGAACTCGTGGAACATCAGCCTTTCCTAGCAAACGCCAACAGACCGAGATAATCTTATTAGTTAATCCCAGCCATATAGGACACCATCCCCTTACCTTGATATACCTCTTCAAAGCCAGGACACTGGACTGGGAAAGAGTCTGGAAAACAAGCTTCTGGAAACTCAGGACCAGCTACATTATCATTAAGCACACAGGACCATACCTGGCTTGAAGATACGCTCAGGACCCTGCTGCCAGGCAGTCTTTTTCCTCCCGGGAGCGAAGTGAGCATGAATCAGGAAGCCAGGAGACTGTTCAATAGTCTGCAGAATTTCTTGTTTTGAAGAAGTTCAGTGCAAAGAGGGGAAGCGTGGGATTAAATTATTTTCTAGATGATACTTGACATATACACACAGGACACTTACACTTCCTCTTTTGGTTTCCTTTTGAGGAAGATAGAGGCTTGAAAAAAAAAAGGTGGTGGTGGTGGGGGTCACAAGACATGCAGCCACGACTGCCTCTCACTCTGCAGCTGTACGTGACACATTGGTCAGTGGCAAGGGAGTGACTGAATACCTCTATCTAGCTACATTTATTATATTATCTCTTTATTGCATCTTCTCTGCAATAAGTTCCCCCCTCCCCCCTGCTTTTAACTTAGGGAACGTCACGTACTGCGCCTTCAGAGAGGAAGGCTCCTGGGAGACCTTCTGTTTCATGGCAGGCCCAGCATTGGCACATTAGGCCTCGATGCTTTTTTATTACTTTAATTATATTTTATTGTGCATGACAACATAATGACAATAACAATTAGCTGCAGGAAATCCTCAAAAAAAAAGGAATGAGAAAGAAATGTATCCCCTGCTGCAGTAAATTGATGTAAAATTCAGTGGGGTGACAGTGATTAACATTTGCCAAAAATTTGCTCGGTATTCTCAAAAGAAGCATTACACAAAATGACACCAATGACAAAAAGGAAGCATAAAACCCTTATGCCACACGGTTCAGTAGATTAACTCTTGCTCATAATGGGCTGCATTCACATTTCAGGGTTTAATGCAACAATTAAAAAGGAAAAGCACTAATAAAACAATTCAAAAGTAGACTCTGAAACCATAAGTGCTTCTCTTGTCTCCAAATGATGTTTTTGGTGGGAGCTGATTGCATACTTACCTTAATGCAGATGCCTATTTATGATACTTCTGCTGCCCAGGCAGTTTAACTGTAAAATCCAGGATCAAGGGTGGGGAAATCAATAAGCAATTACACTGGGCAGTACCAATTAAAATAGATTCTTTCTTTTTTTTTTTTTTTTGGTAGCTATAAAGCGCTCACTCAGCCTGAATGTACAGAGAGTACCATCACACAGACACAGCCCAAAGTGGAAACTGCGTATTAACCTCATCGGTCCACGTCTCCAGGGCAAAGCACCAGTGTCCCCAACAGCCTGGTGGTTACAGCCCAGAGCAGAGCTCAGCGGATCAAGCAAGGGGGGCCCTGAAGCGAAGAAGGTTGAGTCCTACGAAGGGTAAGTCCTTACTTTGTCTTAAAGTAAAGGACGGCAGAAGAAGTACAGATCCTTGGGGGTGCCTTACACAGAGCTCCCGAAAAGAGAAAGGTTTCAGTGAGGTTCACTGAATTTCACTGAATTTTTAGAGTTGGAAGGGACCATAGAGATCATCTAGTCCAACTCCCCTGCTGAAGCAGGATTGCCCAGAGCTTGTCAGAGCATGTTACTCAGGAGCATCCAGGTGGGGCTTGAAAATCTCCAAGGAAGGGGACTCCACACCCTCCCTGGGCAGCCTGTTCCAGGGCTCTGGCACCCTCACCGTGAAGAAGTTTTTCCTCCTATTTGAGTGGAACCTCTTATGTTCCAACTTGTGCCCGTTGCCCCTCGTCCTCTCACTGGGAACCACTGAAAAGAGTCTGGTTCCCTCCTCCCTCAGCCCGCCCTTGAGATACTTGTAGGCATTGATAAGGTCTCCCCTCAGCCTTCTCTTCTCCAGACTAAAGAGTCCCAGCTCTTTCAGCCTCTCAAGGGAGATGCTCCAGTCCTTGAATCATCTTTGTTGCCCTACGCTGGACTCTTTCCAGTAGTTCCCTGTCCCTCTTGAACTGGGGAGCCCAGAACTGGACGCAGGATTCCAGTTGTGGCCTCCCCAGTGCAGAGCAGAGGGGGAGAATGACTTCCCTTGACCTGCTGGCCACACTCTTCCCTACGCAGCCCAGGATTCCGTTGGCCTTCCTGGCCACAAGAGCACACTGTTTACTCATTGTCATTTTACTGTCCACCAGGACCCCTAGATCTTTCTCTTCAGAAGTTGTCTCCAGCAGGTCCACCCCTAACCTGTACTGGTACCTGACATTTTTCTTCCCCAGGTGCAGGACCCTACACTTTTCCCTGTTGAACCTCATGAGGTTCTTCCTTGCCCAGCCCTCCAGCCTGTCCAAGTCTCGCTTCTTCCTGCCAAGATCCAGGTCTCCATCCCCACAGCAGCAGCTCACTGAGGAGCTGTTGCCATCTGCTGGAAAATCCTTGTGTGGCACCTCTCCTCAGGGTCACGGCGAGGGCCT